AGCTACTCAGACCAGTTGCAAAAGGCCACAGTCTGGTAGGCCTTGCAGCTTTTACACACCTTGTAGGGCATAATTAACAGGTTTCTTCAACCAGGAGAGATGTGACAGATTCCGATGTGAAATATTTACAGGTCCCACCAAGGCCTTCATGTCCTTAGCATAAGGACAACCTGGGCAGATAGAGAATATGGTTGCTTTGGACCAAAATTATGTACACCACATTCCCCTCTCCCCCTTCAGCTGCGTAGCCTATATACCTCTTTTCCCTCACACTTTTTTTTTTAAAGATGACTTAATTTTTTTAATGTTTATTTTTGAGAAAGAGTCAGCACATGAGCAGGGGAGGGGCAGAGAGAGATAGGGAGACAGAGAATCTAAAGCAGGCTCCAGGCTCCGTGCTGTCAGCACAAAGCCCGATGACCCGATGTGGGGCTTAAACTCAAGAATCCCAAGATCATGACCTGAGCTGAAGTTGGACGCTTGACCGAGTGAGCCACCCAGTCACCCCACCTCACACTAAGTCAGCCCTGACTTTGATGATGAAATGTAGGATCTGTCTCTTTATCTTCCTAGCAAACAGAAGGCACTGTTTGCAGTCACTAGGAAATCCAGCAGTTCCTTGCGGAATGCTTTGGTGATGGGAACAATGAGCTCAGAGCAGCAGGAGGGGTGCCCTGGGCAATCCTCACATCACCTGCCTGAGCCAAAACCATGCAGACAAGCACTTCCTTGTGCTGGCCTTGTGTCACTCTAAAGCATCTCCACCCCTTTGCACATCCAGCTGCGACATTCTTCAAGAGTGTTCTGTCCCTCCCTGTCTTGCCTCCCAGCACCCAGGGGCTGGCCAGTCCCACTGACTGACAAGTGCTATCATTGCCTTTCCACCTTCCATTCTCCTCAGATCCCAGGTCCACCCAGTCAGCAGTACTTGTGTGTGTGTGTGTGTGTGTGTGTGTGTGTGTGTGTGTGTGTGTGTATGTGTGTATGTAGTTGGTCCATGGTGGGAGGAACCAAAGGAATGAGGTAAAAAGAAATACTTACTTGGCATCATTATACTCTGTCCTTACCCACTCTTTGTTTTTTCCTTTGTCGCAAGTTGTCTGTGGCTGTCTTCTTGGGCTAAACTCAGATTTTGCAAGTAAAGAATTTGTGCCAGTGTGTCACCTTCCAAACTGATAGAACAAACTGAGATGTTATCCAGAAGCAGCATGTCTCCATGTGTTGCTTCAGGTGGTGAACCGGAGAGGAGGTGGTACCTAGTGGGGAGTGGACATTCCTGTGCTTGGCTTCCAGATCCGAGCACAGGCAGGGGGAATGGCTTCCATTTCTTTTTAAAGAGTGAAGCAGAAAGAATGCATTATGGGACAAGTAGCTGAAACTTGAATTACTAAGTGTTTTACTTGGCAATCATGGATCTTTGTTCCAAAGGCTGAAAACTGGAGAAGACTTTTTACAAGCTCAAAAATTAAACAAGGATAAATTTTAAGCAGGCTAAGATTTCGGCTCCACTAGAGGTGACATGCCTATTTTACCTGGTAAGACAGCCCCTGTTTCTCCCTTGGGTGACCCTGCGTGAGAAAAAGCAAGCAAGCTGAATCAACTTAGTCATGCTGGTGGTAGGGAATGAACCTTGATTTGCCTAAGTGGCGATGTATCTACTCTTTCTTCACTTTATGAATTAAATGAGTGTGGCACAGTCACCACCACAAGGGGAACCTGCTTCTTACTTGGATGTCGTGAGCTTCTCCTTACATCTTCAGGAAAGAGTGTGATAACCTGGATGAATACATGATGACCCTAGAGGTCAGCTCAGCATTTTGTACCAGCGTCATGTGTGGGCAGTGCCAGGTGCTGTGGCAGTGTGGGTAGCAAACATTCATAGGTCCTGCCAACTAGGAGTTGTTTTACTCTGGGTTAAAATCAGATTTTAATTCATTTATTGGGAATCAGGTACCTAGAGCAATGAAGTTAGGTGACTGTCTTCCCTACCATTGGAAAATTGTCTGCAGAATATCTCAGGGTCCCAGGTCTGTAAAAGTGCTAATGTACATATCAAGAATTGATATTTTGGGGCTAAATACAGTATAAAATATCCCTTTACCCTTAAGAATATTAGCAACAAATAAATGAATTTGCGAAGCCATGTCTCCCTAGTTCGTGACTGTATTTATTTTGTGTATGCATAGCAATCTGTCTTGGCCTGTATTGTGTAAAGTCTGGTTTTGTGTATACATAGGAATCTTTCTTGGCCTGTATTTTATAAAGGCTGGATTTGTATTTGTTTAAAAGCTTCCTGTTTGTGGAGAGATTCAGGAACGTTTCAAGTCTGTTATAATTTTAATACTGTCTGTACCTTCATGCTTATGATCCATATAGAGGTTAGAGAAGACCCTTTCAGCTTTGATTGTTCATAGCATTTGTCACTAAGATATGCCTCTGATTATTTAAGGTTTTGTGTAAAATATTCCCAGTATCTTAATTATGGTAAACTACTGAAATTCTGAAACAATTTGCTTTTAACTTTTTTTCTTGCACACATACTCCTAAATGAAGAATCCTTTTTTCTTTTACTCGAAATTGCATTCGTGATCACTATTTTGTAAAGACTACAAGTCTTTACAGAGAGTAGGCAAACACAGGATGAATGTCATATAAACTTTTATTGTATTTTTATATTTTTGATAGTGACCAAACAAGTATATTCCATTTGCCAGTTTTATTTAGACATTCTTTTTAAGATTTTTTTTTGAGTCAGTTTTTTTTTTTTTTTTTTTTTTTTTTTTTTCCTGAGAGCGCATGTGGGGGAGAGGGGTAGAGAGAGAGAGAGACAAAGAATTTTAAGCAGGCTCCATGCCTAGTGCATAGCCTGACACGGGGCTCGATCCCATGACCCTGGGATCATGACCTGACCTGAAATCAAGAGTCAGACACTCAGTCGACTAAGCCACCTGGGTGCCCCTGAATCACATTTTTAAAATCAGTACTTTTCAGCCTTTCTAGGTAGACTTTAAATAACTGAAATAGTTTTGAAATTTTCTTCTGTTTTCTTTGTGTTAAATTTAAATTGATTTTGCTTATAGTAGTATATTAGTCATTCTGTGTATTTGTTAGGAAAATTCTGGTGTTGTTTTTTTTTTTTTTTAATTTTCTTCACGAAATACCATTTTCTAGTTTTTCTTTAAGTTCACATATTTCACCAGTATCCCTATTTAAGATAATCATTAGGTCAATATTTGCATTGATAGACATTTATTATTCAAAATTTTCTTTACATACATAAACACCAATAATTGAGTGTCAAGAGAAAATCTTCATAAGTGATTTAAATCAAATGCTAAATGTAAAAAATAATACAGGTGGCCAGTTTTCTGGCAGTTAACTCGTATTTCAGTTAATTTGCTCAAATTAACAAATAACTTTGCTGAGATTTCCAGGGTATAAATCTGTCATTTATAATTTCTCTTATTAATGTTAGCAAGTTGGTATGTTTAATATTCCTGTATTAAAATGAAAGAAGACATTCATTTGAATTAACACTAAATAAATTATACAGTGTCTTTTTAAAACAATCATGCTATCTGATTTAATGATTGTGAATTTAATAGGTCAAATACGGTTCTTAATAGATGAGTTGATAATATCACAATCCACCTTTATAATTAAGTATCAAGAGTCTGTTCTTAATCAGCAACTTCTTTAAGGCTGAGTAAACATGATCTTAATTAAACTCCCAGATAATGCTAAGGGATGTTGATTGTTCCAGTAAGGAAAATAAAATGATGCAGCCTGACCTTAACAAATTATAAATATGGGAATGTTGATAAATGATAATGAGCAGCAAACGTTGAAGAGAGAGGATTGGTTCCCAAGTCAATATTGTTGAAAGGAATTGAGTTTGGTTCTGAAATGTGTTATTTGAATATTTAGAAACGTTCCTTTCTGTGTCCACAACACCCAAGTTAGACGTCAGGTGAAAATTTCTCTTTGAAGAGCCTGTTATAACAGGTATATTCTGAGTTAAGGAAGACATTACACTAAACGTTTAATGGTGGTGGAGGGCAGCCCTAGTGTAGAAGGGTAGAATCACAGTGCCCTGAACCTGCCGGGTTTTATTCCCCTTTTTCTCACTACTAAACTGATAATAGAGAGTGAAGCATCAGTCTGTACTAAAGGAGAGGCAGGTGAAAGGGAGATAATATTCTCCTCATCAACCAGTTTTGCATGTGTCTTATTCTTTGCTGCTTCTGAGACTTACTTTGGAATCAAGATAAGCATTTTATAACTTTGCCCTGGCAGAAACAGGAAAAAGTAGCTGCCGTGTGCCTATAGGTAACAGTTTATTGAGTGGGTACCGGGATCAAAACAGTGGGTCATGTGCCTCTGGCAAAACACTTTCACTCTTACTTTAATACCAAGTGGAATCTGTTTTTATGATTCCAAAGTGTTTACCTTAATAAGGAATTTGAATATAGTATACAAGATGAAAAATGAATCAGTAGTGAAATACCTATCTCTTCGGCATCAGCTGTTCTGTTGACAAAAGGCACAAATAGGAAATTTGTCTAAATAATTAGATTTTTAATTAGTGCATCATTGTAAGATTAATGTCATCGCGCTTCATTGCATGTAATTTTGTATTAGGAATTTCATGTCAACAAAGACGCTACCTGTGGTTTGCTGATTTGAATCCTTAATTTATCACTTGGGTGTATGGCATGTCAGCTATTTGCAGTCAGGAGTGGAAAGACGGCATTTGATTATAACCTCACTGGTGGTGCGGAATATTGATGGTGTTATGCTATATGAATACATTATATTTTCTAATATTCAAGAGGCAGCCACCCATCAAATATTAGTGAGTGTGTATTAACTTGCAGAAGTTGGAGCAACAGCAGGAGCAGACAGGTTGCTCAACCTCTGGTGTATGTTGAATATACCTGGACATCACTGATGTTATATTTGCTGTTTGAAACTTTGTTTTTGTTTTTCCTTTCTGACAGTTGCCGAACAAGCAACCGGAAAAGCTTGATAGGCAATGGACAGTCACCAGCATTGCCTCGACCACACTCACCTCTCTCTGCTCATGCAGGTAATTAATTACCCTTTCTTAAGTTTTGTTTTACTTTTTGCTGGCTCTTAAAATAATCCAAGCATTTTGAAATTCAAGTGTGCCTTTATATCATACTTTGGTTTTCCTGTTGCTTTATCACTACATTATTCTCGCTGCTAAGTGAGCCTAAGCCTCATCCTCTCTTGCAAAGTGTTTGGACTCTGAAATTAAGAATGTCTTTGTATATGGGATCCTTTTCGAGTTATTCGTTTCTCCATTTCTAACTGTGTGGATGATGCAAGCCATGTTTCCATGTTGGGACTGTCTTTGTGGAATGCATGTGTGTTCATTCACATGAAGAGAATTAGCATTAAGAACTATAGAGGAGGAAAAATAACTTTTTCCCTACCTTTCTAAGTTCTCCACTGGGAATCTCATAACCAAAGACAGATTAACCAGAGAAGAGCAAACACATTTACTTAATAGAAAATTTCCATGACACAGGCATAGAGGTGACTAACTTGAGTCAATGCTAGGTCTGATGAAGAGTAAAACGTGCAAAGATAGGACAGAAGTGAACTAGGTCTAGTAAACTGGGGCACATTTGGCAAGGGCTCTGTGTTCACAGTCTTCTGTGTCCCTTGTCTGTTCCTTTGTTCAGGGTATAGGGAGGACATCTCTCACATGAGGACTTGATGATGTGCTTTCGGTCCAGGTCCAAAGAGCCTTGCTGCACATGCCATTTCTAATGTTTGTTTATTTTTGAGACAGAGAGAGACAGAGAGCACGTGCGCGCGTGCGAGCGGGGGAGGGGTAGAGAGAGAGGGAGACACAGAGTCTGAAGCAGGCTCCAGGCTCTGAGCTGTCAGCACACAGCCTGATGCGGGGCTGGAACTCACAAACTGTTAGGTCATGATCTGAGCCCAAGTCAGACACCTAACCGACTGAGCTCCCCAGGCGCCCCTGCATATGCCATTTCTTGTATTTCTTCAGCTTAAAATGTTTAGTTTGTCAGGATGCCCTATTTTGATACCATGGGTCTTAACCTCCAACAGAACTGTTCAGCATGTTTTCTCCCTGAAGTTGAACTTATGTATTACTTACATTTGCTCTTAAAAACAATGCTGCTGTAAGCAGTCTAGAATGTACCTTGTATGTGTACAAGAGTTTGTCTAAAGTTTCATCTGGCAGTGGCATATATAACTTATTTGTTACATGTATAATCTTTATAGGTACAATGAAGATTTAAGAGGCGAGACCCTTGGCCACAAGTACTAATCTTTTTAAGTTTATTTATTTATTTTGAGGCGGGGGGCGGGGGGGGGGGAGAGAGCGAGATTGAGAATCCCAAACAGGCTCTGCACTGTTAGCACAGAGCCCACCGTGGGGCTAGAACTCACAAACCGTGAGACCACGACCTGAGCTGAAATCAAGAGTCAGGCACTTAACCGACTGAGCTACCCAGGTGCCCCTGCAAATACTAATCACAAGGAAGGTATAGCCATATTTGAAAAACCATGCAGTGAAGACTTATTGGTATTGTTGTGGGTTTTTGTTTGTTTCTGCTTTTTTTTTTTTTTTAATTTTTTTAAAGGTATGTCCATGATGGTGCAAGGAAGAGAAGGGTTAATTCCAACCAGGACAGTATGGGAGAGTATGAAGGAGCCACTTGATTGAGATGTTAAAAGCCAGGCAAGACTCGGGCTGGCAGAAATGGGGTGAGGGAAGGGGAATTACCAGTGTGGCTGCTGTGGGGTATTGTGTGTGTTTGATTGTAAGAGAATATAAAGGTGGAAAGAGAGATCAAAGTCAGAGAGTATACGGGATTCTGATTTTGAGCGCCTTTCAAGGACTTTGGGGAGGATCTGTTTTGGGAAGCTGTCTTCAAGATTGTGAAGGATGATGGGTGCAAATGATGAGTGATTAAGCCTTAAGTCATTGCCCTCTGGTGGGACCTCTAACCCTGCTGGGCTTTCCGATGATACTCATTTCCCATTTAAAAGGAGGACTGTATCTCTTTCCCAGAGGCAGTCCTTTTGCTCAGGGATGGTTTCCAGTCAAGAGTAGGAGTTACCTATAGCATGTTTGGGGAGAAGAAAGGGGAGAGAGACATGGTCGACCCTTTGGAATGAAATTTGTTTTCCCTTTAGTAATAAATAAAAGATGGCAAAGTAAAAAAGGCGAAACATGTACTGATAAAATGGTGATCCTGGAGCAAAATCACTGAGGTCCGGAAATGCCACTCTAGACAGTCCTAGAAAGCATATTCTAGACTGTTCACAGCAACATTGTTTGGGATAGCTGAACATTGGAAGCAACCTAAATCGCCGTCAGTTGGAAAACAGATAAATGAGTTGTGTCATACTCGTCTCAGAACGTCGTGCATGCGTATCCACGTGGCCGAAGCTCAGAGGGCTGGGCAGAAAGAGCAGAGGTCGCAAAGGAAAATTGGTGAAAACATTCCTGAAGGTTGGCATCAGGCTACAAAGAATATTTTGTTTAGGGATACACACACACACACACGCACACACACACGCACACAAACATGTATGTGTATGTATATATACCTTTCTTGTAAGAGCCTAAAGGAAAACGTGATAAGTTTAAAGGCCACTTTCATGACAGTAGTTACTTCTGAGAAGGTGCAAGGAGGGTATCATTGGGGGGAGAGATAAACAGTTGGTCATACTGTATTTCCAAAGCTGCTTGAGGGCTACCCAGCTATATATATCATTACCATTTATACCTTGGAGATTTCTATTACATTATTGTCCTCACAGCACAAGGTGGTAGAGAGGCAGGCAAGGCCCAGTACCTACCTGGAGGCTGGACTTGGGTCTCTACATTCCTCGTGCACGGTGCCTGGCAGTGTATACAAGTGCTAAGTATATCACAGATTTTATTTCTGCATAGAATTCAATGGCGATGAAAAAATTGAATCCTGCTCCTCTTGGTAGTGTTCTGTCGTCATTGTACCCTACATTATGGGCCTGTTGATTGGTCTCTTATTGCTGTGATTTTCTTCATTGCTAATATTGAGATTTAAGAATACGTGGTGAAGACTTTAATGATCCTTTTAATTATTCTTCTTTTTCACTGTGTAGACTTGGCGTGAATTCTTTTGTCTTCAAACATCGTTTTAGTATTAAATCAGAGGAGTGGGCAGAGAGAAGCCTGTCTTTCAGGTTCTGAGAGCATTTTTCCTTAGGTTGTAGAGCCAGTAGGCTTTTATTTGCTCAGAATGAGCTCTGTCAGACTTGTTTTGTGAGAAATGGCATTTATGCAGACTGCTAGTTTCCTATTTATGTATAATAAGGGGAGAAAATATAAATTTGTTTTAAAGCTTATTTATTTTGAGAGAGAGTGAGCACAGGAGGGGCAGAAAGAGGGAGAGACAGAGGTGCCTGGGTGGCTCAGTTGGCTAAGCATCTGACTTTGGCTTATGTCATGATCTCGTGGTCTGTGAGTTCAAACCTTGTGTCGGGCTCTCTGCTGACTCCTCAGAGTCCAGAGTCTGCTTTGGGTTCTGCATCTTCCTCCCTGTCTCTCTGCCCCTTGCCTGCTTGTGCTCTGCCTATCTCAAAACTAAGTTAAAAATGAAGGAAGGAAGGGAGGGAGGGAGGGAGGGAGGAAGGAAGGAAGGAAGGAAGGAAGGAATCAATCCCAAGCAGACTCCACACTGTCGACACAGAGCCTGACACAGGGCTTGAACTCACAAACCCTGAGATCATGACCTGAGGTCAAGAGTCAGACACTTAACCGACTGAGCCACCCAGGTGCCCCGAAAATGTACGTAAAATAAAGACCTCCTGTCTTGATGATATGAATGCCTGCCGATTTACCATGCCTTTTTATCTCTTATTGCTACCTCCTGTGTCATGTGTTTAATACACAGAATGCCAGGTGAGAGTTCCTAAATGTCTTTAGGAAAAAAAAAAAAAAAAAAAAAAAAAAAAAAAAAACAGTAAAGAAAAGAAAAACTGCCATCTCTCTGTGCTTTCTGACCCAAAAGATAAAGTTATACTTTCTCTCTCTCTCTCTTTTTTTTAAAAGGTTGGTATTATGTGAATGAGGCCACTCATCACTGGCACATGAATTAATACAGATGAATTGGTAGAGAAGAGAACATGAATTTATTCGTGTGGCTGTGTCATTTGTGCTCTAGGGAAAAAGATACTGGCATAGTCTTCTGGAGCTTATCTCTAGAAACAAAATAGTATTTGTTGAGAGCCAGGGATTCCTAAAAGAGCAGTGAATGGGAGTCCCATTAAAAAAAGAAAGGTAGAAAATCACAGGCTTCTCGTTCCAGGAAGATTCTAAGTATGAAATATAATCCAGAAGCCCCAAAGGAAAAGACTCATGTATCTCTCCTAACATAAAAATTTCTCTGTAATCAACAAAATCAAAAGAAAACAAAGTGTGAAAAATATTTTGATGCCCATAATTGATGAATATCTGATTGCCTTCATGCACAAAGAGCTTGTATAAATTGATGTGAAAATGGCAAATGCACCAGGAGAAAAATGGGCAAAAGATGTAAACGGCGTGTCACAGAAAAAAATTGAAATGTCTCCCCCAAAAATATGAAATGATGATTCGTGGCGATCATGAGAGAAATGTGAACCAGAATAATTAGAGTACCATTCACCTAGCATACTGTCAAAAATTTTATGAAATGGACAGAATCCAGTGATGGCAAGGTTGTGGAGAAGCAAGCCCTTCCACATGACTTAAGCGTTGATGTGAATCGGTGCAACTATTTTGGTTAGCAGCTTGATCTGTTGGTAAAAACTACAATTGCATTTACCTTTTGTCCTAGTACATTCATCTCTAAGAATTTATCTACTGATATTCTCACAAAATAACAGACAATCACAAGTCTGGCTACTTGTAAATAACAAATGGAAAGTTAAGTTGTTACCACTTTATCATTTCACATGTTCTTCAGTAGGGGACCAGTTTTGTAGAAAATGATTGAGGCATATAATCCAGTGGTTTATATGGTTGTTACAAAGAATGAGATAGACTTTTTTTGTTCT